CACGGAAGACCCCTGTCTCTACGTAAAACATACAAAAATAAGCCGGCGACGGTGGGAGGCGCCTGTAGTCCCAGCTACTCGGGAGGCTGGCCAGGAGAATGGCGTGAACCCGGGGAGGCGGAGCTTGCAGTGAGCGAGATCGCGGCCACTGCACTCCAGCCTTGGGCGACAGAGCGAGACTCCGTCTCAAAAAAAAAAAAAAAAAAAAAAGTAAGTTATACTACTAGAAAACAGAATTTCTTAATATGATGATAATGAAAGTATGTTATTAGTCATCAGTTGTTGTACGCATTACTTTTTTCTAACATTATAAATAATTCTCTGCTTCTGCGGCGGTGCGTGGTGCGCCCGGCTATTTTTTGTATTTCTTAGTAGAGACGGGGTTTCACCGTGTTAGCCAGGATGGTCTCGATCTCCTGACCTCGTGATCCACCCATCTCGGCCTCCCAAAGTGCTGGGATTACAGGCTTGAGCCACCGCGCCCAGCCTGTCTTTTCTGTCTCTTTGTCTTGTGTTTTTATTTCTATGATTTCTCATCTCCACACATGAGGAGAAAAACCCACAGACCCTGTAGGGCTGGACCCTACATCTGGCACTCCAACATGGGGCTCTCCCTCTCTGTGTGAAGTTGCGCCTTGAGTGTGGGACTCAGCGGAGGATTCTGACGACAGATTCCTGAGGATTGCGGTCAATAAGCTTGGTGGTAAGCTTGAGCACTCAAAGTATTCCGGGGACACCATGGGACAGGCCAGTACTAAGTACTCGGCTTATTTAAACTTTATAAAAGCCCTCCTGTATTATCTCAACACTGTCTCTGTTCAGCCCTGCTGTAGGGCTCTCAACCTTCTGCCTATTTGGCCCGGTAATGAGGCCCTCAACCCTATCCCTCCACAGCCTAGTTTTCCATTTCTCCTGCCTATTTCTCTTTCCACAAATCAGGCTCCCTTGGAGCCACAGGTTCCCTTGAAGCCTGATTCTCTCTCAGAAAATCAGGCTCCCTTGGCCGGGTGCTGTGGCCCATGCCTGTAATCCCAGCACTTTGGGAGGCCGAGGCGGGTGGATCACCAGGTCAGGAGACCGAGACCATCCTGGCTAACACAGTGAAACCCCGTCTCTACTAAAAATACAAAAAAATTAGCCGCGAGTGGTGGCAGGCACCTGTAGTCCCAGCGACTCATAAGGCTCAGGCAGGAGAATGGCGGGAACCCAGGAGGCAGAGCTTGCAGTGAGCCAAGATTGCACCACTGCACTCCAGCCTGGGTGACAGAGTGAGACTCTGTCTCAAAAAAAAAAAGAAAGAAAGAAAATCAGGCTCTCTTGAAGCCTGGGTCTCTTTCGACAAATCTGGCTCCCTTGAAGAAGCCTCAGGCTGCCTCGAAGCCTGGTCCACAGTTGCCGCAGCAGCCTGGATTTCAGGCCCATGAAAGACCTGCTCAGCAGTAATCTGGTCTCATCCTGGTTTACAGGTTCTCAACTCTTCCTCCATTCAAAATTCCAATCTCTTTTCTGCTTCTGGTCCAGTTGCTACTGCGGTTGCCACCACTACCCTTGCCGCTCACAAGCAACAAGTTACATACATTCCTCGAAATGACCCTCCTCTTATGAGGGCTATAGCACAGGCAAGAGAATGTGGGGATCCCAAAGCCTGGCAATTTCCTATAATTTTCCAGCCTCCAATACCTGCTGTCCCTGCGGCATAAAATCAGCCACAGGCCACCGATCTTGCCCAGCAGGCAGCTGATCTCGCGGCACCTTCACACCCCGTGTTAACATCTTGTTTTTCTGCGGTACAACAAGCACACCAGCCGGTTTGGTTATTACCCACCCCGCCCCCTCAAAAATCCAGACTTCTTATCACTATTTAGGAATGCAGCTATAAGACAAGGGTATTAAGCCCCAAAAAATCATTGTTCGCCTCACCCGATTACAAGTCCAACAGGCTTTTGCAATCTGCGTTGCTTGGCCAGTCCATTTGGCAGGTTTCCTGGGTATAACTGATAATCATTATCCTAATGTAAAACTATTCCAGTTCTTTAAACTCACTTCTTGGATCTTACCTCACATGACTAGAAACACCCCACTAGCCGAAGCATTCACTGTTTTTACTGATGCTTCCTGTAATGGCCGAGCAGCACAGACAGGGCCAACAGAACTGTTCGCTAGTTCAGCACAACCAGCTGAGCTGATCGCTGTCATGGCTGTCCTT